CCTCAGCCAACACCTGGGCCCTCAGCCAGCACGGCGGGCTCTCAGTCAGCACCGGGGTCCCTCAGTCAGCACGGCGGGCTCTCAGTCAGCACCGGGGCCCCTCAGTCAGCACGGCGGGCTCTCAGTCAGCACCGGGGACCCTCAGTCAGCACGGCGGGCTCTCAGTCAGCACCGGGGACCCTCAGTCAGCTGGGGACCTTCATGCAGCATTGGGGTCCTCAGCCAACACCTGGGCCCTCAGCCAGCACGGCGGGCTCTCAGTCAGCACCGGGGTCCCTCAGTCAGCACGGCGGGCTCTCAGTCAGCACTGGGGACCCTCAGTCAGCTGGGGACCCTCAGCCAACACCTGGGCCCTCAGCCAGCACAGCGGGCTCTCAGTCAGCACCGGGGTCCCTCAGTCAGCTGGGGTCCCTCATGCAGCATTGGGGTCCTCAGCCAGCACTGAGGCCCTCAGCCAGGATGGGGATCCCTCAGCCAGTACCAGGTCGCCTCAGCCTGCCGTGGGTCCATAAGCTAGCACCAAGATCCTCAGTCAGCACAGGGGCCCTCAGCCTGAACCAGGTCCCTCAGCCAGTTCCAGGGCCCCTCAGCCAGGACCTCGGCCCTCAGCCAGCATGGACAGGGGCCCTCAGCCAGCACGGGGCACCTGGGCCCAGCCTGTGAGCAAGGCAGCCCTGGAGCCAAGCACCAAGGTCCTCTGCAGGTTTCAAAACCTCATAGCCCCCTGCCTCTCTCCACTCAGTAGCCATCAGCTAGCCGGCAAGCCCGTGTCTCCCGGGGAAACCAGAAAGGGAGAGAAGAAACTCACTTTACTGCCTGGTTTGTTTTTCATATATATTACCCAGTAGGAAAATGTTATGAAGGAAATGGTTGCTTCCTTCAGAAAAAATATTCAGGCCTACCGTGGAAGCTTTAAAATACAGCTAAACGCCGAAACCCCGAGTAGTCAATGAGGACCTGTGTGGCTCGGTGCGCCTCGGCCTGCTCTGTGGGACAGTCGGCCCAGGACCCAGAGACCAAACGCCAGATGAGCTGACAAGAGCCGAGGTCTGAGGGGCCGGGCCGGACACAGTGTAAATGGGTGGTCCCTAGGAGAAGGGAAGTTCCAGGTTCCCTGCCCCACCCAGAAGGAGGGTAGAACTGAGCAGAGAAAAAGGAGAGAGAAGAAGAGAAGGAAGACAGAGGGAGAAGGAGACCTAAGGAAGCCACATGGAGCAGCAAACATGTGATGAAGAAACCGGGCTTGTTTCCTGACCCTGGACTGGTTAAGGCAGATGTGGGTGAGAGACCTGCAGGGAGGTGACTATGGCAGTGTTTATATTGATTTTGATGTTGCTCTTCTCCTCCCAGACTTGTCTGGCCATTGCTGACCCTTTTCCATGGGTCCCGGCCAGAAGGTGCTTTAGTCTAGTGGCGGCTCTCAGGCCTTGCTCTGGGCCAGTCCCTTTTGGGTTGACTTTTGCCCACGAGGGGATGGGTCACTTCAGGTGTTTGATTTAGAAGTTACATTCTTTGTGTTCCGTATTGTATATTCACTGTATTAAAGTCACTTTTCATGAAAGCTTTATATGTTTTGTCTTGTTGCGGCGGATGGCAGAACCCACTTAGAGCAGGCAGGTTTTGGGGCTTCAGGGGTGCCTCTCTCTGAATTGAGGTGCCCTATAACAAACCCACTTAGAGCAGGCAGGTTTTGGGGCTTCAGGGGTGCCTCTCTCTGAATTGAGGTGCCCTATAACAACAGGACCCAGGCCTGGGGCGTGGGCTGTGGTGTTGGGGTCACAGCAAGAGTAGGGCAGCCCGCCCCTCACCGGGGCCTGCAGGATCACAGAGGGGGTCCCCGACGAAGCCGGGGGTGGGCTCTGGTGGGCTCCCTGGTGGGTTTCTGGAAGTTGCTCTGGAATCTGGGAGTGAGCAGCTGGGGAGCAAACTTCCAGGCCCTTCCACAGACAGGGGACTTTCTGGGGTCTTGTACTTTCTCCCTTTCAGCCTCCTGCTATCATGCAGAAGCTAAAGGTTGCTAAATGTGAGAGATTCACGGTGTACAAATATTTGTTGACATAATTCCGTTTCTACCACTGAGTGAAAGCACACTGTTCACACTCGCCATCAACGGCTTAAAGGAAAACACTGGGGTCACAGCTCATACTCTATCACTGCAAGCATTGCAGAACCCCGAGTTGCCTGTGGAGAGACCTTGGTCTCCTGAGACACATGGGGGCTGTGACCACACACACAAGCTCAGCTCCAGGCTGTGTGCTGGGTCCTTCCTAATTCTGTGTTGGCTCCAGCTTTCTCCTCCCACAGGTCTGTGGAAACTGAGTCACGAGGCTGACCCAGGGAGCCACCTGTGGTGAGACTCTGCGCTCCGGAGCGGCCGAGCCCCTCTCTGGGGTTGAGGCCTTCAGCCTCATGGCCCCTCATGTCCTAACACAGTGAGGTCACAGGGGCTCTGAGCTGCTCGCCTGGGCCTGTCCAGGCCTGTTCACAGAAGCCTCCAGACCATCCTACCCTAGGAAGACGCCACATTCCTGATCCTGGGGTTGGGGTGGGGGGTGCTCCAGGGCCCTCAGCCCCCATGCAGGAGCCCCACCCCAGGGCCAGGCCCTGTGTGCAGGGACAGAGGGAAGAGAGCATCAGGCAGCAGAGACAACCTTGGCCTGGTTCCCTGGGCACCCCTGAGGGCCTCACCTGCTGCCCACACAGCGGCTCTGGATGCTCTGAGGCCCCTCACCACACAGGTGATGCCAGTGTAGTCTACAATGCTTCTTTCAAGGAAGACAAGACCACTGATGGCCTCGGGCAGTGGGGATTCATCCTGACACGGAGGCGGGGAAGCCTGCAGGCCAGGGACTGAATTGTTTGACCCCAGGCACTGACAGTGGAAAGCCTTGTTAATAAGATCGGAGCCAGGGTGGGAGCCGGCGTCTGTCACTGGGCTCACCCTCCCTACAGCCCAAACTGGGGTTCAGCTGACCCACCCTTCTCTGTCAGTAAAAAGGCAGGCTCTTGTCTAGAGACACCTGCAGCCTGCGCCCCACAACTCCCGTTTCTTTTCTTTATCACTGAGTTGTTACAGCCCCTACAAGGTGTCACCCGTCCTCAAGCCCCATCTGCGCTCACTGTCCGGCCTCTCTTCTGTCATTAGTGAGCACAGCCTGTGCCAGCCCACAGCATGGAGGGGCTGGCAGTCAGCAGGGCCCTGTCATGGCAGCGACGCCCACCAGGGGGCAGCACAGAGCAGCTGAGGCTCTGGCCCATCTCTGGGCTGGGGAGGGGCAGGGAGGCCTGGGCCTGCTCTCCCCACTCAGGGCAGCTGAGGACACACTGACATGCTGCTGCTGCTGCTGCTGCCCAGGTTTAAAATCCCAGGGGAAAACACTCACCAGCCTGCCAAGAATCTTCCTCTGGAGCCCTCAACTTTTGCCATGTTGTTTATTCAAAAATCACCTACAGCTGGCACGGCAGACCTCTCCTGTCTCCCCGCTGCTCCCCTCAGCAGTGTACTTTGTCGATCAGCCTGTCCTGCTCCCCACTCTGTCTCTGGTGGATCCTCTCACCACCCTAGACCTCTGGCCTGTACCCCAGTTTCATATGCATAAGTAAATAAATCTTTTTTAAAAATCACAGGTCGCTTTTTTACGCATGCAGGTCTGGCTCTTTGACTTGTCCGCTAAGCTCACGGTGACTGACATGCTTCGTTCTACTGCGTGGATGTCGGTTAGCCTCTGCGTGAGGCGAGGGCTCCCCACGCCCTTTGCGGGAATAGACACCCCTGCTCCTGCGGCATCCCTGGCCCGTCGCCCTTCACAGACCTGTCTGAGCATTGTGTAGCGCAGGAGATCCAGAGCCAGGACCTCCGAGATGTGGCCCTGGTTCTCACTTGCGCTACTGTGCCCGGGTCCGTATGTGTGGAAGCTGAGGGTCCTGAGAGCTGGTGTCATTGAAATGCCACTGGACTGCAAAGGCTTGCCATACCCCTGATGGAAACGTCCAGCGTCTAGAGCGTGCCGGCCTAGCTGTGTAATGACACCCACTGTACCTCTTGCCCGCCACCCCAGAGTTTTATGGGGGCGGGGGAGAGAAAGAGAAAGAGAGGACTTTTTCTTAGTCTAGGAACTTAATGTTCGCTGAAATACTAGCTGGCAACAATCTAGAGAGCTGGATAATCTCCTTCCTCCCCACCATCTGCACTCCTGGTAGCTAAAGGATTTAGCGCTTTAATTAGGTATGTTGGTGTGTGTGTGTTCTCAGAGTGACCTATTAACATCCTTAAGCCAATTCTCTACTGGAATCCTATGTTCTTACTGATTTGCAGGAGTTCCATCGCTATACTAGATAGAAGCCCCTTTTTTATTTTAGGCATTTATTTAGGCACCCTGTATGACCCGACCCTTGCCTCGGGCCCAAAGGATGAGTAAGCATGGGGGTAACAGGTGGTCTCTGTTTGAGAGGACGCCTCTGTCGCCAGGACATGTCCCCCATGGAGATCCAGGGTGCTGTGCCCACTTGCTCACCTCTTGGGTAGCACTCAGGCTCTCAGCCTTGGCTCTCCCCAAAATGCTTATCCCCTATCTATATCTCCGTCCCCAAATGTTGAGAAACTGCTTCTCTCCATTGAACTGTGCTTCTTGCTACCTGGTGTCAAATGGATTCTGCTCACTAAGGAATCTGGCTGGACTCCGCAGTCTGGTTAGAGCCTGGGGCAGTAAAGCTCACACATTTCCTTTCAGACTCCATCTCTGCCCTCATCTGATCTACTTCTGCGTCAGATCCCTGCTAGTGCAACCACTGAGCTCTCTGAGCTCTTCCAGGAAGGCTGACACGTGTTAACGCACCGTGTTTGCAAAGCAGCTCCCGCTCACCAGAGGGAAATTTTAAGTTGCTTTCCATGGAAATTCAGTTTCAAAAACAGTAAAAGGTACAATGTGTTTCTAAAAAGTTAAAAATAGAATTACCTTATGCTCCAGCAACTCTATTCATAGGTTCCTGAAAAACATGAAAACACGATTTCAAAAACACATCGGCTCCCTGTGCTCATCGAAGGCCTATTTATAACAGCCAAGATATGGACCCACCTAGGTACCCACAGACAGCTGAGTGTGTAAAGACGAGGTGGTGTGTACATGAGGAAATACTACTGGCTATAAAAACAGCGAAATCTTGCCATTTCCAACCGCATGGATTTAGGCAGACCTTAAAGGGATTATGCTAAGTGGAAGTGTTACAGAGGCCCAGAGTGGACTGGGCCGCCTGACTGTGGGCCTCACCTGCGCGCTCACAATTCGGTTATACTGCAGGCTCACACAAAAGGGTCAATAATGGGTTTATTGACAAAAGGGGAAATGAATAGGAACAACCCAGGAAGAGAGCAGGATACAAATTAACTGCAATACCTTACGGCTAGGCTGACTGAACACACCGAGTCATGTGGTCAGGAGAGTTGCTTCCTAGTGAGAGAGAGCGCGAGATCCAGTATCGCTCTATTTATCCCCCAAATGTCCCAGAATTCCTGCTAGCTCCTCCCTTAGGTCCTCCCAGTTCTCTCCCTGGTGCTTCTGGGAGATGTAGTTTCCAATCACTGGAGTAGGGGGTAGAGTCCAGAAAGCTGGAGGAGGGGGTGGGGTCCATAAGACTCTGCAGAGTTCCTTTAGGACATCCTTCCCCTTAACAGGAGTAAGTTGGACATACCAGATGGTCCCGCTCTTGAGTGGAATATAAAGAAACAAAGCAAACAAATATATATAAGAAAAGAGAAATCATTAGATTTTGACAATTGAATGCTGGTGTCTAGAGGGACAGGGTGGGGAGAAGTGGGAGGAGGAGGTGATGGCTGGAGATGATTAGAGGCACAGGCATTGATGAGGTGTGAAGCTGTACCCCTGAACCTCCAGTGTGGTGAGCCATTGTGATCGCAATAAAAATAAGTGTGTGTAGTGAAGGCAGATTAGAGATTTTTGAAGGAAAAACATGAGGATGTTATAGGCTCTGTAAGGGAAAGATTTGTCATTAAATAAATTAAAGCAAATTCCTGAGGAATAAATTGAGGGGAACAAGTGGCTAGTGTCCTACACTGAGCCGGCATTTTCAGTGATGGCCCCACACACGGGATCCCAGAGGCCCCGCCCATTGGCTAACCTCACCTCTGTTTTTCCCACCTGAAGGCTTCGTTACCACATTTTAGCCTTGGTGCTTGTATATATTTCCTTTCCTTTCCTTCTTGCTTGCTGGTATAAGTCACTATGTACCTAGTGGCTTAAAACACAGGATTTATTCTCTTACAACTCTTGAGGTCATTAAGCCCAACAGGGAGCTCACTCAGCTAAAATCAATATATGGACAAGGCTCGTTCCTCTGGGGAAGTTCCAGGAGAGAATCAAACCTCCTCGCCTTCAGACATGCCTTCCTCCCTCCTCTGGGTCAGCAACGTTTCTCTCTGACCCTTCTTAGTTCCCTGCTCCCTCTAACTACAGCTCAGAGAGACTCCACGAGTAAGGAACCACGTGGTCAGATTGAACCCACCTGCATAAAATCCAGGACACTCGCCCTAGGCAAGGTCAGCGAATTGGCAGCCTTAATTGTATCACACTTTAGTTCCCTTTGCAATCTAAAGGCTCCAAGTTTGCAGGGATGACGCCCTTACTGCCCTGCAGTAATCGCCCACTAGAGGGCGCCATCACGCCCCTTGACACAGCATCTTGGTTCCCATGACGACAAAAGAGCAGGCTGGAAAGACTTCCTTGGAGCGGAAATGGCCTGTGCGAAGTGAACCAGGATTTGATCGAAGTGTGGTGGGAATTCTAGTCCCAAGTTGGGCTCGGGGTGGCCCATAGCAAAGAGGATTGCTGTGCACTGAAAGGGCTCAAACGTGTGCTCCCCACGGGCTTTGGAAAATGACTCCGCTGTTGGGCAGAGGTGGGGAGGTCACTGCTGCCCAGGAGACCCAGAGCAAACCCCGGGGAGGGCGCATCAAGATGGGGGAACTGGGTTATAGTAACGTGCACAGAGAAGGTGGGGAGATGCCCGTCCGCCTTCTGGGGGCTTCTCTGTGGTCCCCATTCCCTTCGTTGGGACACAGGAAACAGGCCCCCAACCTAGGTAGTAAAGTTTCCCAAATTCTTGAATTTGGTGACCTTGGGAAGGAAAGATCAGAGGGAAGGTTGTAGAAGGCAGGCAGGGAGGGTACAAGTGACCCCTGTAGAAGGGGGACCAGCTAGCAGGTCACCTTAGGCTGAGGTTGAGGTGGGAGGGGCAGAGCAGCCTCACAGTGGGGGAGGGGCAGGGGAGAGATGGAAAGGGGCCGGGGAGGGGCCTGTGTCCAAGGGCAGCAACAGCCAGTGGGGACCCCAGAGCAGCTGCCTCATAAATCTTGGGTCAATCGAATGCAGAAAATGCCGGGATACGCCCTGAGACTTGAGTAGTAATTCTCCACCTTTGTGGTGTTGGGAGCACTGCAGGACTGGGGGACCCGGTAGAGAGGCGTGTAAACAGCAGGCTCAGCTTTGCCCATGCAGGAAAAACTAGAGATGGAATTTCTAGAGATGGAATCGGGGCGCTTGATCAATACCACGTAATAGGCATGACTTCCCGGTGGGTTTCTTTCAGCAAGAAAACTGCTCTCCTTTCTAGAGAGCACCTGCACCTGTCGCCAGGTGGGCCCTGGGCCACATGCAGACCCCAGCTCGCTGCCCCAGCCGTGCCAGAGGGACTGCAACAGAAACATGGAGAGAGAGAGACCCCCTAGTCAGAGTTAATGCTGTGATGGCAGCCACCTCTCTCTCACAGGGAACCAGACGTCAGGGTGAACCCCCCACCGTGAAGGGGTGGGGGTCGGAAGCCACCTCTGAGATTTGAGGCAGCTGCTAAACTGGGGTGTGCCCCAATCCGGTCTGGCAACGACAGTGATTTGGTGGGCTGCAGAAGGGTCCCCTGAAGCCCCAAATGTGGTGGGAAGCAGTTAGGGGCTGGGTAGCCTCTCTCCTGCTCCCCCTCAAGAACACTTTCGTTCCAACAAAGCACTGCCAAGCTCAGAGGTGCGCAAGGGAGAAGCAGTTGTGGGCAGTCCCAGAGGGGGGTTGCGATTTGGGGCACACGCTGGCCCAGGAAGGGGGTGGCTGTGAGCTGCTGGCGGAGCCAGGAGGAGAGGCCAGCACACCCCAGCCTGGGCAGGGCAGCCCCGGGCCCACAGAGCAGGGAAAGCACAGGCCGGAGCCTCCCGGTGGAGGTCTGGGTGGAGGTCTGTGAGAGGGCAAAGCTGGGCCCCGGCGCAGCCCGAGACTAGCCCGCGGGAGTAAGTGCCAGGCTGTGGAGCAGCAGCTGTCTCCTCTGCCTTTTGCAGCCCCTTAGTGGACAGAGAAAACAGGATGAGCAAGACAGAGGTGCACAGCCCGTGTGGGGAAGCCCTGCCCGCCCGATCTGCTCCCCAGCAATGAGCCCCAAGTCCCTGCTTTGGAACTGGACACAGACCCATGAACCACGATGCGGACTGGGCTGAGTTTTTTGCCCACAGATGCTCTAAGCGGTCAAGTGTTCAGAACTCTGTCTGTAAACAGACCACGACAGGAATACACTTGGATTTTATTTTTATTCATTTGTTTATTTATTTTTTTGGCAGCATGGAAGTGAGAACGGCTGGAGTATAAAAGTGCAGCGCTGGCCCTCCCTGGTGGCGCAGCGGGTTAAAGCACAGCACTGAGAAACTGAAGCCACTTCCGCATGAGTTCGAATCCCGCCTGCCCCGGAGGTGACCCACATGGCGCGGCAGACCTCTCCTGACCCGCCCGCTGCTCCCCTCAGCAGTGTGCTTCGTCCATCTGCCTGTTCTGCTCCCCGCTCTGTCTCTGGTGAAGCCTCTCACCACCCCTGAGCCTCTGGTCTGTACCCCAGTTCTGTATGCACACACAAAAAAAGTGCAGCGCTGATACAGCTTGAGTGGTTTCACCTTCCTACTTTAACAAGTGATAAGGAAATAAGGCAATTTTCAGCATAAAGATGCAAAAGACAGAAATGTTGGACACCTCTCCCAAGCCCGTAGGAGTAAGACAAATCAGACCGGCGCTGGGAGAAGCCGCCCCACAGGGGGCAGGAGAACAGCCCAGCTCCCCAGCTGGCCCTCCGGGACCCGGCCTCTGTGACAGGTCGCTCTGCAGAAGGGGTGTGGCTCCCCGCCTGAGGACAGCCCAGAAGCGGCGAGGCAGAGGCCTGTTCCCTGCCATGGGTGCCCAGCTCCTGGGCCGTGTGATGCTTTTCCTCCTGGGGGCAGGTGAGTCCCAGGACCCAAGGACACCTGGGTCCCTTGCCACCGGCCTGGGTCCAATCCTCCCCTACAGCAGGGCCATCAAAGCCCTCCTGAGCGCTCTCTAACTCATCCCCCTCCCGCCAGGCCACGCAGCTGCAAAGGTGACCCAGGACCCCAGATACCTCATTGCAGAGCCGGGGCGGAGGCTGGTGCTGCAGTGTTCTCAGACCATGGGCCACGACGCCATGTACTGGTATCGCCAAGACCCAGGGCTGCACCCGGAGCTGATCTACTACTCCATCAACACTAACTTAACTAATAAGGGGGATGCTTCTGAGGGGTACAGCGTCTCCCGGCAATACAAGGAGAATTTCCCCTTGACCCTGGAGGCAGCCACCCTGCGGCAGACTTCTCTGTACCTCTGTGCCAGCAGTAAATACACAGCATGGCACAGCTGGCCTCCCTCACACAAAAACCAGAAAGGGCAGCCACCAGGAAGAGCGCCCCACCTCAGCACCCACCAAAGTCCCTCCCCGATGCTGGGGGCTGGAGCCCCTTCGCTCGGCCCCAGTGAGCAGAACAACCACCATGTTAGGGTGCTGTCGGGAGGGGCTGCTTCCCCAGACGCTATATCCCGTCCTCCTGCGGTCACTCAACAGTGTTCCCACGTGCCAGCTGCTTCCCCTTCTCCCGTGGGGTGGCGTCTTCCTGAGTCTGCTGTCTCCCACCTTCTTCAGCTCAGCAAGCAGCCCTGCCACCCACCCAAACGCCCAGGCCAGAGCTGTGGAGAAACCCTTGCTGTCTCTCAGACACCTTCCTGGCCTCACCACCACCACTGCATGTTTCTTAGTGATAAGTTCCTGGCAGTTTTATTAACTTTTCTAACTTCAGAGAACCTCTGTGGCCAGCCAGTGTCATCTCTTCCCAGATTCCCTCATCAACTCACCCACAAACCCCTCTCTTGAGCTTAACCCCCTTCAGTGTCTTTCACTCAGAGAGCTGAAGGGAGATAAGAGAAGAGGAAGGGGAGGAGAGAGGAGGAGAGAGAAAGGAGGAGGGAGGAGGGGGAGGAGGGAGAGAAGGGAGAAGGGGGGAGAATTTCTACAAATTACCAGTAAACAACCTAAATGTAAGGACTTTCTGCTAAGCCGTAGAGATGGCAAATGGCAGAAGTTGTCTCCCTCGTCGGATTTTGAAATAATCAGTTGAGTGCAGCCCAAGGTGGGGACAATTTCCATTGCAGTGAGTGGGTCTCAAACCCAAACATCAGTATCAAACCGTCATCCATAAGCCAAAGAAGTGGCCTGCTGCCCCTGAGCCAGCAGCAAAGCCGCTGCCGAGGCGGTCTTTGGGACTCAGCAGACTTCCAGGGTCGCCATCTTGAGAGAAGAAGCCACATTAACCCCAGCGACAGCCAAGAGGATACAGCATGAATGACGTGACCCACAGTTAAAAATATCCGGGATGCTGTGTGGCCTGGCTGCTCAGGGCTGGATGACAGAGATGGACGACGGACACAGGCCCTGAGGTTACCTGGATGGCAGAGTTGGTGGACATCAAAGAAAATATTCTCATAATGAATAAGCAGACAGGGCCTATCAGGGAAGCAAATTTTGTCCAAAATTCAACAATCAATAGTTGTCATTTGCCTTATTTGCATGTTAAAAATTCTATATGATCATCTCAGGAGATAGAGGAAACATCTGAGATATGCAAGGCCTGGACATTCACTAATAAATGTTGCTAAGAGAAATGAAAGACATTGGGCCCTCCCTGGAGCTGCAGTGGGTTAAGGCCTAATGCTGCAAAGCTGTCTCATGGATGCTTCAGTGTGAGCTCAATCTCCGGCCAGGGAGCTGACCCACTGGTGCAGCAGACCTCTCCTGACCCGCCCACTGCTCCCCTCAGCAGTGTACTTCCTCCATTGGCTTGTTCTGCTCCCCACTCTGTCTCTGGTGAATCCTCTCACCCTCCGCATCTCTGGCCTGTACCTCAGTTGTGTATGAGTAAATAAATAAATCTTTAAAAAAAAAGGTTCTCCCTGGTGGCGCAGAGGGTTAAAGCACAGCACTGAGAATCTAAAGCCGCTTCCTCATGAGTTCAATTCCTGCCTGCCCCGGAGGTGACCACAGGGCGCGGCAGACCTCTCCTGACCCGCCCGCTGCTCCCCTCAGCAGTGTGCTTCCTCGATCTGCCTGTTCTGCTCCCTGCTCTGTCTCTGGTGAATCCTCTCACTGCCCTGCATCTCTGGCCTGTACCTCAATTCTGTATGCATAATGAAATAAATCTTTATAAAAACGAAATTAAAGACAACTTTAAAAAGTGGATATGTGTGTAATGTATGTATCTGTGTATATGTATGTGGGTATGTATGTGGATATGTGTGTGTATTATGAATATATGACGTGGGTAGATTAAAAGACCAAATGTGAAAATGAGTATTCAGCCCGAATTGATGTATAGATTTAGCAAAAGCTGAATTATCATCCCAACTGGATATTTTTTCTTTCAGAAACTGGAAAGCTTATTCTAAAACATATATAGGAAGACTCTCTGTGGAGACAGAACCCTCACGTGTGCTCGCTAGGAGACGCAGCCTCAGCGCATGGTACAGGTGATGGTGTCAGGGGCGCGGGCCCCAGGCCAAGATGGCGGCTGCACGCGGGCGGTGAATCGTCCTAAGGAAGAGCCGCACAGCTCCACCAGGGGCAGGTTCCTCTCGCCTTCGCCTGCTCCAGAAACTCAACCCCCTGCCACAGGGACACAGAGCCCAGCCGGGTGGGAGCTACACTGGGGAGGGAGCACAGCTGGAGTTTGACTCTTTGGTGTCTTCCCCAGTGAGTGGCTGGAACCTCTGTGCACCAAGATGCTGACTTGCCTGATGCTTCTCCTGGGCCCAGGTAGGAGCCTTCTGCCCTGGGGAGTTTGGGTTAATGCTGATGCTGAGCGGGAGAGTGGAGCGTCTGAGTCAGAGGGCGAGGGGGTGTGGGGTGAGAGGATTCTGTTGGGATAAGAGTTAGCAGGGAAAATGGAGGCAGTGCTACCTGCCGGGGTCTTCGGGAACCTCAGTGGCAGCCGAGCTTAAGCACCAAGGCTTCCACCTGAGGACAAGCTGCCCATCGCTGATGGACGCCTCTGTCTCTCCGGAACGAGGCTCTGTGTTGGGTGTTCTTGTCTCTGAAAACCCAAGCGGAGACACCTGCCAGTGTGGGACCTCAGCTGACCCATCCAGGGTCAGCCACCGACCTTCATGTACTGGTACCACAGCTCCCAGGTTCCGATGGCCACAGCAAACAGGGCTCCGAAGTCACTTATGACAGAGGGGTCACCAGGGAGAAGTTTCTCATCAACCCAAACCAAACCTTCTCAGTTCTGACTGTGAACAGTGGGAGCCCGGAAGACAGCAGCTTTTATTACTCCAACATGGTGACACAGTGGTGGACACCGATCAGGGGTCTGAACAAGGACCAGCTCCCTCCTGCCCAGCTCCCACCCAGCTAGGCCGAGGCCCCAGCTGCAGGGAAGAAGCCACCGCTCTTGTTACTGACGATAGAGATAGCTGCTCTGTGTCTGGTGGGGAGGAGGGGAGTGAATGGGGGGACAGTCTGAGGAGAGAATTTGGGACCAGCAGGAGGGCTCCATCCAGACAGGATGAGTGGCTACGTGCAGACTGAGGATAAGAGTCTTCCAGAAGGGTGTTTAGAAATCCCCAGTAAAGACAGTCAGATACAATTCAAGTAGCAGGGGCTGAAATAAGACTTGAGCTGCTGTGGGGCAAGACTGTCTTCAGACCAGCTGCTGTCCCAAGGCACCCTAAGGTCCTCAGCCATCTCGGCATCACACCGGCCCATCACACTGATGGCACATGCCCACGGAGCTTGGTGAGAAGATAAATAAATCACTCTGATGTCTGATGCAGGGTCTGCGTGCCCGACAATGTGAAATCCACAGAAACTCAGAGTCCTAGTACGTGGGTGAGTTTCTGAGCTCTTGAGTGGTCTAGAGATGTGGGCGTGTGAGAACATTTCTGTAATGGAGAGCAATGTCCAGGACCGTAGGCTGTGACTCTATTTGGAGACGGGGTCTTTGAGGAGCAAATTAAGGAGGCCTTGAGGATGGCCCTGATCCAAGCTGGTTTGGTGTCCCTACCAGGAGAGATTAACACGCGCCAGGAAAGCACCTGGAATATGCCCACGGAGGAAAGGCCACGTCGGGCCCAGTGAGAAGAAGGCCACCTGGAACAAGAGTGTGCCCTCGGACAAAACCAGGCCTGCCCACAATGTGATCTCGGACTTCGAGTCCCCAGAACTGTGAGAAAGTAGATTTCTGTTGCTTAAGACAACAGTATTTTGTTGGTTCGTGTGATATTTTGTTATGGGAGCTGTAGCAAACTATTACTAAGAAAATAAATGTGATTTAGAAGAAAATTTGCCAGGTAGTATAGACTTTTCTGGAGAAAAACATTTGCAAGGCATTCAAGTTTAGATCCTGGGAGTCCATAAAGACTAAGTTGTCCTCCCGGGAGGGACAGACGCCCAGGCCTCTGTGTATGAATAGAAATGATGCAAGTCGCTCCCTTCGCTGCCTCCCCAAGGGGGGACATGTCACGGGTTCTAAGCACGTACCTGCTCCAGCTGGAAGTGTGGGGGTGCCTGTATGGGGCTACTTAGTTCTGAGTCTTGGGAGCCTCTGCTGATCATCTCAGACCGGTTGGCCAATGGGAGGTGGACAGGTCAGTTGGTTGCCTTCAATGGAACAACACACGATCATAGGTTGTATAAGCCAGAGAGAGGAGTGTCAGGAATTGACTGGGCACATTGCCAGACCAGGCTCAGAGGCAGAATCATACTTTAGAAAATGAAACACATGTTATGAGTACCATGGAGCAATCATGGCGGCCATATTCCTAAGCCAGAAGACCCCAGAAGGGCCACTGAACGCCTGAGGTCTTGATTGTTCCCTGGTGAGAGGGGAACCAGTGCCGCTGTCTGCCTCCTGCTGAGGATGGAGTGGAGGACACTGGGTGTCTCCAGCCTTCAACCCCATGTCCACCTCACTGGCTGAGTGACCATGAGTGACTTACATCCTCGCCTCTCTAAGGCTCATTATGTCACTGACCGACCGAAAGGGTGATTCCCCTGGTGGTTGGAATAACAAAGTGGGAAAGGTCCAGAAAGGCCTATGTGTTGGCCAGAGTGAGCCACAGAAACTCCTCGCCGCTTCCTGGATGAAAGACAGTGGCTTAATATGCCAGTCACGCAGAAGTCTAGAGGAAAGTCTCAGACAAGCAGCTCAGAAGGAGGACCAGGGTCACCTCCAGCCAGCCACCTTGCTTTGGGCCTCCAAGGCTTATGAGATGAGCCGGGCAGCACCATCCAAACATCTGGGATGAGCACACGTAACGGTGTCCATCTAGAACTATCTTCTTGCCTATACAGCGACTATGCTCGTCTGTAATTTTACCATTGGATTTGGGATCATTAAAAAAGAAATGTAGGGATGGCCCTCCCTGGTGGCGCAGCGGGTTAAAGCACTGCACTGAGAAACTGAAGCCACTTCCGCATGAGTTCGATCCCCGCCTGCCCCGGAGGTGACCACAGGGCGAGGCAGACCTCTCCTGACCCGCCCGCTGCTCCCCTCAGCAGTGTACTTCGTCGATCTGCCTGTTCTGCTCCCCACTCTGTCTCTGGTGAATCCTCTCACCCTCCACATCCCTGGCCTGTACCCCAGTTCTGTATGAATAAATAAATAAATCTTAAAAAAAAAAAAAGAAATGTAGGGCCCTCCCTGGTGGCGCAGCGGGTTAAAGCACAGCACTGAGAAGTGAAAGCCACTTCCACATGAGTTCGATCCCCGCCCTGGAGGTGACCCACAGGGCGCGGCAGATTTCTCCTGACCTGCCGGCTGCTCCCCTCTGCAGTTTGCTTCGTCGATCTGCCTGTTCTGCTCCCCACTCTGTCTCTGGTGAATCCTCTCACCGCCCTGCATCTCTGGCCTGTACCCCCAGTTCTGTATCATAAATAAATAAATCTAAAAAAAAAAAAAGAAAAAAAGAAATGTAGGTGTGGGATGTAATGCTCATCTCCTTTGAATGTGAACGCTTCCATCCTTCTTTAATTCTAGGAAAACTGTCTACACACTTGGTTAAATTTCTCCTTTTATTGGTTTTCTTCTTTGTTTTGTTTCTCATTAGAACACCTGTAATTGAGATATTGAAAATTCTACTTGTTTCTCTAATTCTTAGTGCCTTTGACTTGTGTATCTAAACAAAAATAAAATAAACATTACATGGTCATAAAAAAATATGGCTCCTACTATCGCAAAGAAACCTAGAACCGTTTGTCCTAAGGAGCATACAAAATAGGAGGCAGCAGCTGGATTTCAGGCATTAGACAGACAGAACCTTCCAGCTTGTGGGTCTTTACATGTGGACAATGGCAGAGCCACGAGAAGCAAACTAAAATTGCCCTGCACTTCTCCCCACTTTCTTGTTTGCACCTGTGGTGTCTATGGGCCACACAGCAGCCACTGTCCTGACTGTCCAACAAGACCCGCGGGCCCCAGACAAGGGCATGAAGGCAACACCCTGAACACCCCGCAGGCTTTTAGGGAAAGTCCACATTACTGACCTGCACAACCCGAGTTCACCTGTCAGCCCTCTCCCAGACACGCGGAGTCCTCCAGGTCTCAGCCCGGGCCCAGAGGGTCAGGGGTCCTGGCTGGGTGAAGGTCAAGGCCGGGAGCCAGGTGGGAGTTTCATTCCGTTTCTACTTCTGCCAGGGAGACAAGGCTCCCCGGGGACTGGGGGCACCTTTGCCCTCAAGGAAACCTGACTTGACCTCCGGAAGCCTCGCGGGGCCTCCAGTGAACCCCAACCTGTCAGCACCGCCAGGTCTGCCCAGCCTAAGCGGGCTCTGCCCCCCAGCCCCGCATTCTCGGGCAAGGTGGCCCCTACGAGAGGGTGAGGTCCTTCCTGCATCGGTGAAATGTCCTGCACGCAGCTACCCGTGAAAACGAGCAGTCACCCGAGAAACTCTGCACCATGGCCCCGCGGCCAGTGGTATGGGTGTAGGGAGCTCTCAGCAGCCCTGCGCGGGGCCCAGACAGAGCCAGAGTCCCCCATGGCCCGGACCCCTGGTCTGGGGCTGCCGTGGGAGGGGTCTCAGAGCACAGGGTCTTCAGCGGGGGAGCTGCAGCAGGAGCACCCCCATTCACACAGCTGCCCTGGGCCCTGGCCCTCAGCCTGTCCCTGTCTCCCTCCCACAGCCGACTCTGAGCCGGGGCAGCTCCCACAGAGCTGCAGGCCCACATTCCCCTGTCAGAGAACCCAGATGCAGACTCAGTCTCTCCCCACCCCCTGGAGCTCAGAGGCATCTAGGAGAAGCCCCCTGCTAAGCAGGCTCCCCCAAATCACTGATGCACCTTCCTCTCTGCACCCAGCTGGCTGAATGTGCCCAGTCGGTGACAGGGCTGTCTGGTGGCCTCGGCTGGCCTCCCACTGAGAGGGTTCTGGGAAGGCCCACTCTGTGTGAGCTCTGCAAAATGGTCCACAGCTTTTAGAGTAGAACATTCCAGAACATTCTAGAAGCTCCTCATCGCAAACTTTGATATTGAACCACAGTGCTCAGTGTTTCTTCCTTCTGCAAATATGTGGCTTGTTTTCTGATCAGAACCCAAAGTTTCCAGCAGACCAGACCATGGGTTCCTGCTGAGGCTGTGAGCCCCTCGCTGGTGGGTCAGCTTACAACGCCCCTCGTCACAAGGCCTCTGAAAGTGACCTGTGACAGGGTGGGCCGTGAGAAGGCCCAGTGGCCTGACGCTGAGGACGGGAGTGTGGCTGGTTCTTCTCACCCAATACACTAAGAGGCAGATGAAGGTTAAGACTTGAACGTTGACCTGCACTTGAAATGGTGCCCATGAATATTTGTAGGAAAGTCAGGTCTTCCCAGCTTCCCTTCTCCTCCTATCTGGAAATTGTAGTAATTGTCCCCAATCCAGTGGGCTAGATCCTGCCCAAAGCCCAGACTGAGAAGAGTCTTCTGCAGCGAGACCTAAGTCGTGACAAGACGTATTTGCCCCTGTGGGCTCGGGACACGGGCAGCTGGTTTGCACCATTCCCAGCCCGTCCAGGGCCCAGGCCTCCGCCGCCTGTTCTGTGCCGCCTCTGCCTGGCTTAGGAAGGCCCAGCTGTGCCAGGGGAGCGGGCGCCCCGCTGTCCCCTCGAGAGCCCCCCAGAACTGGCTGAGCTTCCTCTCTGCTCTCAGAAACTACGGTCCTTATCGCC